TATAATTTAATAAATGCACTTATAGCAATCTTATAGTAATCTGTAAAAAATTAAATCCTAGTTAAATCTATCACAGTTTTTGGATGAAACTAGTATAAGAGAAATACAAAATATAAATGTGCAAACAAAAACATGAGATCGATATTATGATTAAATAATTATTTCTCTTCGTCTTCTATCTTACTAAATGCCAGACAAAGGGACGACATTTGCTCGACCGAGTGGCACTAATTATCAAAGGATTCGGACGAATCCTATTCGAGGATTCCTTTGAGACGAGTCCCATTTTAACCGAATCATTTCGGCTTAATTCCGACCGCAAATGCCGATCGATGCGACCGTCACTGAGGATATAATTTCCATTTGGATACCTTGCAGCTTTTGTTACAAACTCGCGCGGGTCGCTTTCTCGTCACGCGCCAGGTAAAGTTTTTGATGTCTCTTGCGCGCGATATGTTCCCAAAACGCTTGTTGTTCCGTTGAATTACCCATTTCGCCTGCCCTTCCCCATCCCTTATGTTTTTTCCGCTTGTAAACATAAAACTTATAAACTTTAATGTTATTTAATAATTCATGAAGAAATTTTGAGATGTTACATTCGTTGTTCAAACATTATCTAAGCGCACTAATAAATAAATGTGATCAAAAAATTGACGATAGTAATCGTTTCTCAAAAAATTTATTCAAAATTCACGAACAGAAGCTGATATAAAATAATAATTTCTTCTAGAAAATATATTGTACAGAAAATTTAATCAAGCCGATTTTGAAAAAAAGTTAGTGTTCCGATGATATCAATCATTAAAAAATATTTTATGTGAAAAATGAAGTAAAATTTAACAGAGCCATTTTTATAAAATACACTTGCTTGTTCTAGCTGAAAAACTGATTCTCTAGAGAAATTTTGTGCTCCGACGAGCGTAAAGAGGACAAGTTCCTAAACGTATTTACATCGGGAATATAAAATTTTATGTTGTAATACATAAAGTTTGTAGATTAAAAAATAATGTAAAATATTCAGAAATTTTTATTTTTCAACAGCAAAACAATATTATATATTTTCATATACTTTGTTCCCTTCATCAATTTATTTATTTTAATTGTGATTGCGTATAATATAAATTGTTCGGTTAATTTTATGTATATTTGATTCGATATAAATACAATTGACATTCATTAAAAATGTAATTGAATAATAAATAATAATTAGAAAGAGAAATTAAATAAAATTAAATAATTAATAATAAAATAGTAATTATTTATAAATGAAAATACATAATTAAATATATTTAGCAAGGCTTCAGTCATTCATATCAGTTTCCAATTTACGAGACTATCAAGCATGTCGCAAATCGTTTTCCGTTAGAAATGAAATCCGTTACATCCGTAATCTAATATAAACATAACTCTACCGTAAAACTTGATAGCATTGTGCGATCGTAAACTCGTTTCAACATTATCGTTAATTATCATATATTTACACTGTGTCGCTTGCAAATGCTGGAAAGTTGCTTAGCGAATCTTGATGCCAACGTGTTGCAGCGAACTCCTCTACTATTATTAAACTACTAATGTTGGAACACATTAGGCGGCGAATGAGAACATTGAAGATATAAGTGGGTAATCATATCGTGTCGTTCAACGAAAAGAGAGAGAGGAAGCCGTCAAATGTGAAAAAAGATCAGCTCATTTCTCGTAAACTCGTGAAGAGAAAAAACACCTTAATATAACGCTGATGCAAAAGTATAAGGATATAAAGGCGGATTGAAACGACATTTAAATATAAATACGCGAAAAGTAGTCGATAAACATTATGAAACTTGAATATATACATTTGTACTTATCTTCTATATTATTTCAATTTTTATTCATATTTTATTCATATTTTATTCATATTTTATTCGTTATCATCAAACCACATCAAATTATTTTCATATATTGAAATTTTCTTCGAAAGAGTCAATTTTTCAATAATATATCAATTATTTTAAAGCAAACTTGATGTTCCACTTTTAACTGAAATAAAATGACGAAAATGACGAAAAAATAAACACATTCCATTAAAACATAAATGTATGCGTATTGACAGAAATATATATCTTGCGCGTACATGATAAAAACATATTTCATCGTTCAAAAGAGAGAATATAAGCCAAAATAGAATTTATCATTGTAGGAATAAACAATCCCGCAAATAAACATCCTGTTTTGTAAGAAATGTAAATAGACAAACAACCCGAAAAGACAGCTTTTTATAACTTGTTTATGCAGATTAAAGCGTTACTTTAACGTCGGCGGAATTTTCGCAAGAGCTTATTAAAACTTTTGTCTTTCTTGTGCTTATCCTGAAGAAACACATTACGCGATTAATCCGCACTTGGCCGAATTATGAAAAAAACCTCTTATGTTAATAAGAGCATTATTGCTCGACGCGAATCTCTAGTTACACAAAAGATTCTTTGGAGACTACGCATGTATCATCAATTTTATCTTTCTGCTGATAAAGACAAACACTGACAAAAAAACCTCTTTTTCCATAATTCATCTACGTAAATTTTATGTAATACAAAAATTTCGCGATAAGAAAAGCATATTTTAAAAGCATATTTTTAATTTAATCATTCATTATGAAAAAAATTACTCTTGATCTACTACTTTTATTGCTTTATATAAAATTTTTTTATGCTATATCATTGCTGCACAAGTTTGTTAATTATTTTTTCTCAAATTTAATAGTTTTCTCAAATTTAATAGTTTTTACTAAGGTATATAATATTAAAAATATGCAATGCACAAATGATAATATTCTTTGAATTTAATATTTTTAAAGAAATATCAAATTCCCAGAAAATCTATTATTTGAATCAAGATATCTTGTATATAAAACGAGAAATATACTTGTTCTCTCGTTAGAATTTCACATAAAAGGGTTGACCTCTCTTATCCTTAGATTTCATTAAAGAGATAAGGGAAACCACAATGCAATGCATGCATGTTGTAATATTCTAATATTTATTTTACCGTTTATTTCTTAGCCGTGTAAATAAACGTTGATTATATATCACGCGAGAAATTAAACTACAACGACAACTTGAACCAAGAATAAACTAAAAGTTTCACATTCGAAGTAATATTGCTCCAATTTTGCGTGCCTGGCTTGACAATTTACGAAAGCTTGTCACACTAAGCGAGATATGAAACTGATCTTGCATAAAAAGTGTTGTACTTGCACAAAGTAAATCCGCAAGCAAATCTTAATATCACGTTAAACATAGTATACTGTTAAACAAGATTTATATATCAAAGAAGCATATGTCGAACCAACACATTTTACTTGAAACTAACTTGAACAGACGTAAACCAGTTTCCGGTAAATACGATTACTGCGTTAAAAATATTCATGCGATTATATTTCACAGCATATATAATAACATTAGATCTTGTTATCTTGTGCTTCATCTACTCGCTTTGATATAATCATTATTTTCTTTTTGTGGAAATATACATATACTCGTGGACAAAACTAATGCACTAATTTTTTTCACTTTTTCTTTAAAATTTTTCGTTAAAATTTAAATATCAGCTTTTAAAGAAAAAATGAAAAAAAATTATGCGTTAATTTTGTCCAGGAATATATATGTATAAAACACTACCATTTTTATGTAAGATATCTTTTACAAAAAATTAAATGATATTTTTCTGTTAAAATGATTTATGTAAACTAAGTCAGGTTTATAAGAAAAAGAGAGTTGCGAAATATTAATCGAAGGTTATATAATATTATAGAGTGTGTGTGTGTGTGTGTGTGTGTATGTGTGTGAGTACATATATATTTATGTATATGTATGTATATGTATTGGAATAATTATAAATTAAAAGGTTATATTATATGTAATATATTTAATAATATCGTTTTATTTCGAGAAAGAATTGAATAAATTGTGTATTATTAATTTCTTTATTACTATCAATGCATTACACACGTCAGAAATTGAAGATACAATCAAAATCCAATATCTGTTTAAATAACTTCGTTCATACAATATGTTTAAAAAATAATTTTCGCAAAATTAGTAGTAGATTATGATGAATATATTATTTGAGAAATGTTATGTATAACGTATATAACAAACTATAGATAGAAATGATATGAAAAATATAAATAAAATTATATCTTTGACGGTATCTGATAAATAGATAATAAACAAATATATTCATAAAATTATAGATTATATTACAATTATAATTTCATGTTATATTGTTATTTTTTATGTTATACTGTTTAATGCTATATCAGAATCAGTAATAAATTATGATATATATAACATATGAGAAATATTATGTTAACATATAGAAATATTAATTAACAAATTATAGATGCAAATACCATGAAAAATATAAGTAAAATTATATCTTTGTCGGTATTTGATAAATAAACAAATATTCATAAATTTCTAGATTATATTAAGATTTTAAGTTATATTGTTTAATGCTATCTTAAAATCATAATAAACTATGTAATATTTCAGAAATGTTATATATAACATATGTAACGAATTAGATACGAATGATATGAAAAATATAAATAAAATTATATCTTTGTCAGTATTTGATAAATAGATAATATGCATTCCTAAAATTATGTAATTATAATTTCATATTATATTATTTAATGCTACATTAACAACCGTAGATTGGCTGCAGTCTGGAGTAAAAAGCAATGTAAATAATTCACATTCACAAGAAACATTAATTCTTCTATTTTCTTATTCATTTTCTTTTAACATATCTTTGATCGCGCAAAAATCCTCATATTCAAAGTCCGGTTAAGAACTGCTTAATTAATATTTTTAAGATATGAATAATCACAGGGTCGGATTTAGAGGAGGGCAACAGGGGCTGAAGCCCAGGGGCCTGTACAAGAAGGGGTTCTCCACACCACAAATTTTTGGGTAAAATTTCCTATCAAATGGTATACAACACTTAAAAAGTCTATGTACTCGTATATTGCTTGACCTTGTTATTTCAAAATAAATTATTTAAACAACGTAAAAACTTCTATTTAATTTTGGTTTAAAAATGGTTAGGGCTCTCCACCTCTTAGTTGAGCCAGGGCGTCCACACATTTAAATTCGGCCCTGAATAATCAAATTGATAACAATTGTGTATTGGTTGATGGCTTGTTGTAAAAGTATCTATAGGATTTGTGCTAGAAGTATATATATAATTTGTGCTAGAACTTAAAAAACTAATTCTATAGTAGTTCCAATCATACGTTGGCTATTGACGTCTGCTTGATACAGCAACATTTTCAGCATGTCTGTCAAGATATGAAAAATTGTTGTGGCTAATTGTAAGAGTATCTGCGGCATTTGTGCTAAAACCTAAAGAACTGATTCCATAATGGTTCCCACTATGTTGGCTGATGACATCCGCTTGGTACAACAACATCTTGAGCATTTCTATCAAGAATTCAATAAACTATTTAGATTGTAATCCAATCATACATATATATATATATATATATATATATATATATATACACATATGTGTATATAAATTTAAAAAAGAAATTTATCCAAATATACATAATCTTCATGATAAACGTGTTAAGTATCTAAATTTTAGAATTTTATTATATATAACTTACATATGTTACACAAAAATACATATAAATAATTTAGAAAGGATAAAATAGTAGTATTCAGTTTATTGTCATTAGTCTTACCTCGTTGATCTGAATTCCGAAGCTCTTCCAGCGATTTGATGAGCATCGATTAAATGTTTTATTACACTGGAACAGTTATGTTTAACATCATATTGAAAGATTATGTTGCAATATATGCACTCCATTATTTCATTTGGTATAGTGTAATTGTCATGTAACATCGAGTTTTGATTTTTTATCTCTATATTATGCGCATTTTTTAAGTGGTCTTTCATGCAATCCGATTCATAATACCCGATGTTATACCTCTTATTACAAATATCACATTTTGTTTGATGCTTTTGTATTATAGAATAAGGCCATTTTTCTGTACTATTCGAGGGAACAAAATTATGTTTTCCTCTTATATGACGTCTTACATTTTGGTATTTCTTATTTAAAATATAAACTTTGCCACAAATTTTGCACTTGCCCTTCTCACTATTAATGTCTTTTGTAAAATACGCCCAAATACCATAGGATACCGTTTTCTTTCTTATTGTTAGCATGATATCCATTTTGTATCACAGATTGTATACGACTAAAATCAAATGAAATCATTTCGACGAAAAATATAGAAACTGATAAAAGAAATAGAGAAAGATCATAAAAAAACGTATATATGATTCTTTGTATAAATATAAATATTGATACACAATCGAAATATTGATACACAATATAAATATTGATACACAATCGAAATTTATCTGGCAATTTTACCGATTAATTGTTTATCACCGTTAAGAATCATCGTTTACAAAAAGAGTGAAATATCATAAAGCAAATATTAAAAGCTGTTAATTCTGTGTAAAATATCTTTTGCAAGGAATTAGCAACGTTTTTTTCCGTTAAAATTATCTGCGTAAACTATCAGGTAGATAAGAAAGCAAAAACTATGAAATATTATTATTAGTCCTAGGTTACATACATAAATACAATTTTATATATATATATATATATATATATATATATGTATATATATATATGTTAAAGTAGAATACTCTCTATACACATATACACAGGCATTCACATACACACAGCGGGTTCCACTTTAATTCTCACACATTCATAATTGAAAAATGTAGCGTTTATGGGAAACATGTTTCAAATAATAATTGTAAAATTTAAAAAGGAAAAAAGATAAAAATATTAGAATGTAAATTCTAAGACTATGTGAACATCAATCTATTTTTTTTTAATAAGACTATTTTATCTATATAAATCGATTCCTCACAATATTCAGCGTAAAATTTTATAACGCATAGCCAAAAATTGAATATTTTGCGAGATATTTTATATTCAGGGTTGACATAAGTTTACATACACTATAAAATATCTCATTAATATTTCCCGATCGTTTTTCTTAATGCCTTTACGTGTAGAATAATGAGAGAAATTAATTGGTAAAAACATGTAATTGTTTTTAAGAAAATATATCAATTAGCGCAACAAGCAACGATTTAATATTATAATAGATATAAATATCAAAAACTATCATTTTTGTGTAAGATATCTTTTACAAAGAATTAATCGATATTTTCTGTTAAAATAATTTATACTATCACGTTCATAAGAAAAAGACAGTTGCGGAATATTAATCGAAGGTTATATAATATTATAGATGAGTGTGTGTGTGTGTGTGTGTGTGTGTATGTGTGTGAGTACATATATATTTATGTGTATGAATATCTAAACTAAAAACATTCCAACAGGCACAGAGAGCTGGAGATCATTATTAGTCCGGAATTATACAAATTGAATAAAAGTAAACAATAAAAGGTTAAAAAAAATCCGTTTTAATAATACATAGACATTAAGACAATTTAAGAGCGGACGTTTCGACTTATATTTAAGTCATCTTCAGCGCATATTAATTATTGGAAAGTAAGCGGATGCTGTACGCAGTAAACATATTAATAGATTTTAAACACGGTAGGAAGATTTAAGTATGAATCAAGTATGAATTATATATTATATATTTAAGAATTAAGTATAAACATGTGTTGAAATAATTATAAATTAAAAAGTTATATGTAATATATTTAATAATATCATTTTATTTCGGGAAGGAATTGAATAAATTGTGTATTATGAATTTCTTTATTACTATCAATGCATTACACACGTCAGAAATTGAAGATACAATCAAAATCCAATATCTGTTTAAATAACTTCGTTCATACAATATGTTTAAAAAATAATTTTCGCAAAATTAGTAGTAGATTATGATGTATATATTATTTGAGAAATGTTATGTATAACGTATATAACAAACTATAGATAGAAATGATATGAAAAATATAAATAAAATTATATCTTTGACGGTATCTGATAAATAGATAATAAACAAATATATTCATAAAATTATAGATTATATTACAATTATAATTTCATGTTATATTGTTATTTTTTATGTTATACTGTTTAATGCTATATCAGAATCAGTAATAAATTATGATATATGTAACATATGAGAAATATTATGTTAACATATAGAAATATGAATTAACAAATTCTAGATACAAATACCATGAAAAATATAAGTAAAATTATATCTTTGTCGGTATTTGATAAATAAACAAATATTCATAAATTTCTAGATTATATTACGATTTTAAGTTATATTGTTTAATGCTATCTTAAAATCATAATAAACTATGTAATATTTCAGAAATGTTATATATAACATATGTAACGAATTAGATACGAATGATATGAAAAATATAAATAAAATTATATCTTTGTCAGTATTTGATAAATAGATAATATGCATTCCTAAAATTATGTAATTATAATTTCATATTATATTATTTAATGCTACATTAACAACCGTAGATTGGCTGCAGTCTGGAGTAAAAAGCAATATAAATAATTCACATTCACAAGAAACATTAATTCTTCTATTTTCTTATTCATTTTCTTTTAACATATCTTCGATCGCGCAAAAATCCTCATATTCAAAGTCCGGTTAAGAACTGCTTAATTAATATTTTTAAGATATGAATAATCACAGGGTCGGATTTAGAGGAGGGCAACAGGGGCTGAAGCCCAGGGGCCTGTACAAGAAAAGGTTCTCCACACCACAAATTTTTGGGTAAAATTTCCTATTACATGGTATACAACACTTAAAAGGTCTATGTATATTGCTTGACCTTGTTATTTCAAAATAAATTATTTAAACAACGTAAAAACTTCTATTTAATTTTGGTTTAAAAATGGTTAGGAGTCTCCACCTCTTAGTTGAGCCAGGGCCTCCACACATTTAAATTCGGCCCTGAATAATCAAATTGATAACAATTGTGTATTGGTTGATGGTTTGTTGTAAAAGTATCTATAGGATTTGTGCTAGAAATATATATATCATTTGTGCTAGAACTTAAAAAACTGATTCTAAAGTGGTTCCAATCATACGTTGGCTGTTGACATCTGCTTGATACAGCAACATTTTCAGCATGTCTGTCAAGATATGAAAAATTGTTGTGGCTAATTGTAAGAGTATCTGCGGCATTTGTGCTAAAACCTAAAGAACTGATTCCATAATGGTTCCCACTATATGTTGGCTGATGACATCCGCTTGGTACAACAACATCTTGAGCATTTCTATCAAGAATTCAATAAACTATTTAGATTGTAATCCAATCATACATATATATATATATATATATATATATATATATATACACATATGTGTATATAAATTTAAAAAAGAAATGTATCCAAATATACATAATCTTCATGATAAATGTGTTAAGTATCTAAATTTTAGAATTTTATTATATATAACTTACATATGTTACACAACAATACATATAAATAATTTAGAAAGGATAAAATAGTAGTATTCAGTTTATTGTCATTAGTCAGTCTTACCTCGTTGATCTGAATTCCGAAGCTCTTCCAGCGATTTGATGAGCATCGATTAAATGTTTTATTACACTGGAACAGTTATGTTTAACATCATTTTGAAAGATTATGTTGCAATATATGCACTCCATTGTTTCATTTGGTATAGTGTAATTGTCATGTAACATTGAGTTTTGATTTCTTATATCTATATTATGCACATTTTTTAAGTGGTCTTTCATGTAATCCGATTCATAATACGTGATATTATACTTCTTATTACAAATATCACATTTTGTTTGATGCTTTTGTATTATAGAAAAAGGCCATTTTTCTGTACTATTCGAGAAAACAAAATTATGTTTTCTTCTTATATGATATTTTATATTTTGGTATAGCTTTTTTAAAGTATAAACATTGCTACAAATTTTGCACCTGCCCTCTTCATTATTAATGTCTTTTGTAAAATACGCCCAAATGGATTCTCTTTTGATTTGTGACATGATATCCACTTTGTATCACAGATTGTATACGACTAAATTCAAATGAAATCATTTCGACGAAAAATATAGAAGCTGATAAAAGAATCAGAGAAAGATCGCAAAAAAACGTATATATGATTCTTTGTATAAACATAAATATTGATACACAATCGAAATTTATCTAGCAATTTTAACGATTAATTGTTTATCACTGTTAAGAATCATCGTTTACAAAAAGAGTGAAATATCATAAAGCAAATATTAAAAGCTGCCAATTCTGTGTAAAATATCTTTTGCAAGGAATTAGCAACGTTTTTTTCCGTTAAAATTATCTGCGTAAACTATCAGGTAGATAAGAAAGCAAAAGCTATGAAATATTATTATTAGTCCTAGGTTACATACATAAATACAATTTTATATATATATATATATATATATATGTTAAAGTAGAATACTCTCTATACACATATACACAGACATTCACATACACACAGCGTGTTCCACTTTAATTCTCACACATTCATAATTGAAAAATATAGCGTTTATGGGAAACATGTTTCAAATAATAATTGTAAAATTTAAAAAGGAAAAAAGATAAGAATATTAGAATGTAAATTCTAAGACTATGTGAACATCAATCTATTTTTTTTTAATAGGATTATTTTATATATATAAATCGATTCCTCACAATATTCAGCGTAAAATTTTATAACGCATAGCCAAAAATTGAATATTTTGCGAGATATTTTATATTCAGGGTTGACATAAGTGTACATACACTATAAAATATCTCATTAATATTTCCCGATTGTTTTTCTTAATACCTTTACGTGTAGAATAATGAGAGAAATTAATTGGTAAAAACACGTAATTGT